TTAGAATCACGCAGGACGAAATGCAGTAGTCAGCGGCACGTACTGTCTTGTCCTGAGAGATGGGTAGGTTTACTAACACTGACGGCGTACTTTTATCCTTAGGCCACAGCAAGTAATTTTTATGGATGACATCAGCGCGCGCATTAATTTTCGCCTGATTTTGAAAAAAAAAAAACACAAGAAATTTTGTTGCCTTCTGACGTCATGACAGTGGTCAACATGCCGAAAATGGGCAAAGATGTCTGTTGCCATTCCGGAAGGTGGATGGTAGATAGCTATGAAGAGAGGAGACAAGTAAAGGCTCTGATTTAATGTTTTGTTTCTTACTTTGATGCAGTGATATGTGATGCTGGCTGTCTATATGTGATGTTCCCACTGAGTAGAAACCATCTGTACAATGATTGAGTCAAAATTTTAAATTGTAGGAACCTTGTTTTATTCGGCCCGCCTTGTTTTTTTTTTCGCCCGCTCGCATTAGATTTGGAGTCTGCGGAGGATGTCATCCATAAAATTTACTTACTGTGGCCTTAGGCCACATAGCTGCAAATGGGTGAAGACCCCCAGACGATGCTTTTGCCAACAAAACGAAAACTAAAGACGGTATAATAGTCGTAAATACCTGTTTCAAAGACCCTAACACATGGTGCGCATCAAGGGCTGGTAGACAGTGAAGTCAACTGTCCAACACTATTAATTCTACCAATCATATACACCACCAGATACCTCAACAGTCTTGGCAAAGCGGAACTTCTATTTTTGGCCAAGAAGAAATAAAAAGTCGCTCATATCTAAAGGATGGATTTTGGTGAAACGTTAGTTCAATAGTTGACCAATATAAAATAGTGTCCGAATAAAAAGTATAGCTTTCTAGTTTGTTTTCGTTTGGTTATTCAGGTTGTTTACATTGATGCTACTGCCACATGTCATAACTGATCAATTTCAATTTCTTCGGAAAGGGAATAGATATAAAAAATTTCCTTACAAAATAGTATTTCTTCCTAGAAATAGGCATGTATATTTAGAGTGTTTCATACACATACAACGCAGAGCAATTTTGTCTCTGGTAGTATAAGTTGGAAATTAAACCAACATACCAAATATTATACGTCAATGGCATTACTTGAATTATTAGCGAAGAAGCCTGAAAGTGAGCAAAGATTTTGTCAACAAAAAACGATAACGTCTTCAAGTCTAGCCAACGATACCCCAACAGTATCAAATGAAGAGCAAGTTTCCGTCGTCTGCATTTCTGTGTCTCCCAACCATTTCATAGCCGACTATGAAACCCCAGAGACCAAGCATAAACTTTTATTTTCAGTCACTAGCTATTCGCAAGAAAACATATCACGCAAAATAAGGTTACTTCTCAGACATAACTTACTTGTTATCCACGTGTGTGTCTCCTAGATGGTAGCCCTTCACCGTAACCGCTAGTAGTATCACTAGTACAGAGACGACCACCGGACCCGCATTTCTTGTGTGCGCCATTTTCCTTTCTCTGACTGCTGGTTCCCTGGCGGCGGCAATGTGAACTGCAGGGGGCGTGACACCATCTTGAGTCGTACTCAAGGCTTAAATTTTGGTCAAGGTCGGTCATGAACCAAGCAAAGGTTTTGGGTGAATTAAATGTTAGTAGATGATATGATGTTGAATACACGTGAAATATATGGATGACATCCACGCGCGCATGAATTTTCGTTAATTCGTCTCTAGAACAAAATTTCACTGTAAATCGTACTAAAACAGCTACAAATGAGCAAATATATGCCGTAAGTTACAAAAATAATATTTGAAAACGATACTTATGTCGTAAAAGGCCAAATCAAAAGAAGAAAATGTGAAGAAATGAAACTGAAGAGTCTATCATTCGCCATACCATACTCTGTGAGTCTGTGTGCAGTAATTTGTTCAACCTTCGTGACCACGTAGATTTCTTAATGACGGCAACTTGCTAAACATTTTCTTTCACATGCTCTCATCAGTTTTGGGGTTCCCAGGGGATGTCATCCATATAATGAAATCAACATGGCCTTAGCTTGATTCAAGTTGTAGACATTCTCTGCTGAGTCTACTAACGAAGCCTTAAGGGCGAGTCTTCACACCATTGTACCAAATTATGCTCTACAAGCATGTTGATGTCAGTTGTTGTTATGTTCATTAACCGAATCTTCAAGTTTGCGGGATGCAAAACAGTGATTTGCCCAAACACGTTCCAGCTACGCGAATTAAAACGCGATGTTTCGATATAGGAGACAAAAAGCGATCCATCAAATTGATATTTTCAAACTTTCTTTCCTACGAACTGTGCTACGTGGGATCCGAATATTCAGCTATGCCACAAGGTAGATCACAGGTACATGTACATGTATATGTATATGTTGCGAGAGATTTTCATTCCATATATCTAACCAAGGAGGTTAACTCCATGATCTAACGGTCATTTATATTCATGTGAACCACCATCCAAGTCCCATCTAAGGTCTAGTCTACTTTTGTGCCAAAGTGTTCTGTCTTTTAATAGTCGGATAACTTTCACGCCATGTTGATTGTCTCTAGCAATCAGCGTTACTGTCGCACACTCAATTCCGGATGCTAACAGGAAAATCAGATCCAGACCGTAAGTCTAGCTCACTCCCATTCAGCCCGATTTCTCCGTCTGTGACCTCGGCACTTGATCGTGTCTCATTTCACATCAACAACAGGTTAATTTGGTGCAGACCACCAATTTGGAAAGTGTAAACTGGTAGTCAAATAATCGTAGATATTTTAGTTTGCGTACGTGGGCTGCATGGTAGCATACAAGCATACAAACAGATCAAATGCCCCCCCGAGCTGTTCAATTTTTACGAAACAAACAAAAACGCTTGATACAAACTTTTAGTAGACATCGACGAAGCCTACATTCAAGATGAGGTGTAGCCTCGACAAGGAAAGAGTAGAAATGGACCAAATAGACAGATACTATGCCGCCCCGCTTCTGAAGCCTTGTAGAGGCTAGGCAATGCGGGACTAACGGGAAATTAGGCAGAAAAGATGTTTTAAATTTAGACCTCATAAATGAGCGTAGATTAAAGAACAATCTGTTCCAGTAGGATGAAAGTGCACTAGATTGGGAGAGATTTAGTCCCACTCAAAGTATAAGTATAGGGAATTGTGAAAATATTTCCCTTGGGGATTTCTTTATCTCACTAGTAGCTAAGCAACCTCACTGTTTTCTTCTGAATGTAGAAATGGTTTTTACTCTAGACTTCGGCCCAGGTCCGGTCCTTGCGTTGTGCAACGTCCCAGATTCCTTTAATACACTTTTTGAGAAAGTTTCAAGATACTATATCTGTAATATTCTCATATGTAATGATACAGTATGCTTACCTTACAGTCTGTGCGGTAAGGCACGCTCCAGTTCCGTCACAGTTGTAGTTTTGACGTCTACTTCTCCCAACGGTTCCTCCCAAAAACTAGGCTACTACTAGTGAGGAGACCTGTAGCGACTTCTGTGCATGTGGGGGAGGATCGTTATGTCTGGCTGGGGGTGGGATAGGCGTAGACTGCGGCCTCTTACACCGTCAAATTACTCTCCAAGCAGAGGTTGTGGGGGAATGATCGTTAGCTTTTTATATATGGCCGTTTTTTTGGTCGCTAATGTGGCCGGCAACCTTCTTTGGCTGATGGATACTGCCTGGCCAATTTGAAAAAAGAGAATCAAATGGGCCGCGGGGAGGTAGTTTCTTTGCCTCCGAAAGCAAAGTCAAACCCCAAGGCGGCCAAACTCCCCTGGCAAATATTCTCCTATCTATAGCCAGCGTCTGGTAGAGACTAGAGGACATGCGTGAAATAACAACCACCTAGCTGCAATACCGGATAATTCCAGTAGAGGCGCACGTGTACGTCCGCGCTTTTATGACACTACGTTCAGATTCCATCGTGGTTACCAAAGCTATTTTAGCTAGCCTCTACCAGGCACCGCGGATCGCTGGGAAAAATAGTAGAAATTGGCCGAAATAAAGGGATAGTATACCAGAGAAGATCCCATTCGTGGGTCACGAATTGGATCTTCTATGACCCTGGATCTTCTCTGGTATACTATCCCTTTATTTAGGCCAATTTCTACTATTTTTTCAACAATCCGCGGTGCCTCGTAGAGGGTATATTTTAGCTACCGAGTCTATTTCCCCTCCGCAAATCGTGTAACAAATGCGGTGTTATAGTCGGCACATAGCCTCTACCAGGCTTGGGGAGGTGGCTAGAAAGAGTAGAAATCGCCGCACCCTAAATGTTCTCTCAACGGACAAACTCCCTTGGTATGATTATCTCCCTGTTTGGCCGATTTCTACCAGCCGCCTCCCCAAGCCTGGTAGAGGCTAGTCCGCACACCTTGTCACGAACAACTAGAACGCAACGCCTTTTCATCTGTCATTTCCTGGAGCCCTTTTCATGTCACTTCCGACTTTCTACGACTCAAAATAGTCATACCAGCAAGTATTAAACAATGAAAACCTCCTTGAATATCAGCTGTCCTGTACCCACACTTAACTCATACGTAGGGTTTCTGTGATGGTGTCGGGTCAATGTAGATTTATGTCCAGCAGAATAGTCACACTGTCACTGGCCACATTTGTAGGGTCTTTCACCAGAGTTCTTATGTGGTCACATAAATTAGACTTCCAATCTGTTCTGTACCCACACGTTTCACACATGTAGCGTTGTTTCATCTGAGTGAGGTGAGGAAAGACGTGTAAAGTACCTTTCCCAAGGGCTCAAGATCAGTGACACGGCAGTAGGATTCAAACTCGTGACCTCTTGATTCTGAGCCTAACGCTCTACCGTTGCGCCACACGACCCACGTCTTTTTCTAGGAATGAGCAATGAACAATTCTACTGAAAAGAAACATGATATGCTGTTGCTGTGAGGACAAACATTTCCCGCGCCAGTGACGTCGGGGCTTTAAACTGTGACGTCAGAACACAATTAACCAATGAGAGCCCGAGTTGTTGCTAATTTATGCGTTCCAACAAGACACGACGCAAGAGGGTGGATAGACCAAATTTGTGGAGGTTCGGGGGCAGTTGTACACCACGAAAATCGGCCAGGTAAGGCACATATTGGTATCTTAGCACATTTTTATGATATAGTATTGCGTGGTAAGCCATTAGTGTACATATAACCGCAAGATTTGGATCAGTAATTCGCGTTACTCGCGTATGACTGCCACAGCTGTTAGGAAGATTTTTCTGTCCCGAACGCGAACACTTCCTCAAGGTTATGCCAGGTTTTCGTCGGAAATACGTCACGATTTTCCTCGTATGATACCCTGCTGTGTGAAACCACTGAGGGAAGATAGCAGTAGTGAATATATTGTGTTGGAATTCTGCCAAAATAGTCGACTGTATGTGTGATATTCACGTGAAAGGTTCGTGATATGCTACGTGCACCGACCTACCGGCAAAATGGCGGACGGGGAGCGACGTTTTTAATTTTCCTTGTACTTAAAATGACAACAATTGGGCACCTGTTTCGTGTTGTATATATTCCAGCCAACTAAGATTGTTGGCATGATGTCATCTTAGAATTTGTGGGTACTTAGTTAGTACAGACTTAGTTCTGTAGCTATGTCCGCTAAAACTTGCTCCCCCTCCTAGCTATTTTCGGACAGTCCCCCTGACCATATACATATTTCCTGGGTCACGATGACCGCTTGACCACCTAGCCTCCACACCACGCCAAAAACTGGGGGTTTTGGGGGTCTATTATGTGCTATTTTCTGATTGCATATAGACAACATAGCCGGCCTGGTTGAATTACCCCCGTTTTAGAACTGGGCTAATCAGAAAACAGCCGAAGACCACCAAAAACCCAGTTCTTATAAGCCTGCTACGGAGGCTATAATTTTTGACCACCATACCAGGCCTCGTGACCACAACCAGGGACTGGGAGGTTAGATATTTAAAACCTCCCTGCCACAACTAAATTAGGATTTATACTAACTGAAAAGGTCATGGAAAGAGAACGTTCCAGTGCAAGTGCCCATTGTGCATCTGATGTAACATGTAAGAAGCTTTTGTTGATAGACAAGCTATGATTTTATATTATGTTTTACTTGAAACTCACTTGATTTTTAACGTTATCCTATAATTGAAATTTTTAAATATTCACGGGGCTCAAAATACTTTTCCATACCTGCAGGTAACCATGAAAACCACCTGCACCACTCAGCAAGTAGTGATCACAATAAAAACTGTCTGGAAATCAATTGCCATAAATATATTTTGCACAGTTGGTGATGACATTCAATATCAAATTATATTTATAGATGATGAAAACTCCTATATACATGTATTCTATGTATGTGGTTTATACCTGCATTTGTATATAAACCCAGTACATGGACTAGTGCAGGATATACATTGGAAATACCTGCATTTGCAGGTGGTACTAGGATTATGATCCCTGGCTCAGAAAATATAATTCATGAAAATGTGGAGGCAGAACTATCGAGTTTTAACCCCTTTTGGAGCTGTGCACCCAAGTTTAGAGTTGTGCACCCAATTCATTTCTATCAGTATGGGTGCCAAATATTTTTGTAGACCACATAGATTTTTGCATGGCACATGCGCAGAACATATGCAAACAGGTGCATTGTCTGGTGACCACATGTGTCAGTTTGTTGTGGATTTAAACATGGACATTGTGCCGTTTTCAAGGACAGGTTATTGCCCTATTACACCATAGCAAAATATCAACATTTCATGGTGCAACATTGCATCAAAACTTTATAGAGCGAAATGAAATCTTTTGATTGAATGAATTTTCCAACATCAGTTCATATATTTTTTTGTATTTTTTATTTTTATTTTATTTTTTTTTTTTTTAAACAACTTTATTCAGTATACAGGAAATCATACAAACAAGTCATATGCACTGTACATAATAAACAGAGATAAAGTAAGGGAAGATAAAATAACATCAGGTAATCATTCATAACAAAAGAAAGAGGTGTGTATATATATCATCTAAACAAATTACTGGGTAGCATTCATTTATGCATATATTTTTTGTATAATCGATAAATGCATATATGCCAGCAGGGATAAAATCCACCTCAAAATAAACAATTGCACGTGTACCATCCATGTGCAAGTGGAAAGAGTATCAAAGTTCAAACTACTGTACACTGATAACTGTACACAGTTCGTTTGAGAAAGCTTACGATGCAAATAGCAGTGTGAAGAAAGTTCAATAGCCCAGTTTATTTTTAAGTTACACCACACTGTTTGGATAAGCCGGCCTTGAAAAAGGAAAGGTGAAGGGAAGATTTTTTAACCTAGTACATGGACCAGTGCAGGTTAGGTGCAGGTAGACATCAGAAATACTGTACACATGTACATGTACATAGTACCAGCATTTGCTGATTTCCAGCATTAGGTGATTTTTTTGGCAGTACTTTTGTATTTTCGCCGTCATTTCTGTACCATTAACAGTTTAATAATTTGCCGACTTTCTTTTTTCTGCACCTGCCACCACCGTGAAGATATAATTTCTGTTATTTTTCTTAGGCCGCAAAAAAATATAAGTCATTTACATTGAATTTGCAAGCAACAGTCATATGCATCCAGTAGTAGTATGAGCAGGGCTCAAAATACTAGTACTAGTAGTAGTACAGTAGCACATCGGCAGAACGTACTGCGCCTGCGCAGAACCCCGCATTTTCGCATTTTTTGTTGGATTTTTGGTCAACGTTGCATTAGAATTTTGACTGTTGCAGAAGATATCTTTTCCGACACACCATTTGGTAACTACTATCGAAATGCTGACCTTATATGAGCGAATACAACCTTATATGAGACATTCTGCCGAAGTGCTATGTACAATACATTATGGGTTTCGCACAGGTGCAGTACGTTCTGCCGACGTGCTTAGTACAGTAGTATTAACTTTGAGCCCTGCTCATGTTGGATAGTAATGGCACCTGTAAACTTCATGTGACATCACTCCTATACCCCAAATTTTTAACCCCATTTCATCATGCACATCTATTGTTCCTGTACACGTGTCTGAAGGGCCACAGTCTCATTGGTTTTGAAGGGTCAGTGACCTCACGTTAAGAATCCATAATATATAGGACAGGTAAAGTACAGGTTACACAGCAGTGTTTACTTGTACCAGCAGTCCAGCACATAAGAAGGGACCTTCTCACGTGAGCGTTCCATAGTATATAGGACAGGTAAACTACTGGTCACGCAGTAGTGTGTACTTGTACCAGCACATAAGAAGTACTGTCTACCCATTTTCACCATTTGCAGGTGCTTGTACCACCTTTGCCATGTTGTTGCTGACATTTTCTGGCTCTAGACTCACAGTCAGATTTTTGTTGACAGACACTTAGAACTGTCTTGTTCGGCTAGTGCTAAAACGTTAACATTGTTTGTGTGTTATTTGCGCAGGGTCTGTATCAGCGGTAATGGCGGCACACCACTGGGAGTTACTGGGGGAACTGCGGCGGCAGATCACAGATCTGGAAAATGCCATCTCTCGCATCAACTCAGTCAAGAGGAACCTACAGGCAAACTCTGCTGAGGTGGGTGACTAGTTTGATACAAAAAGGAGATGCTTCTTCTCTTCTTTAAATTCAAAAAGTATGATAGTCTGCCTGAATTTTTTTCCGTCATCTCAATTTTGTTTGATGTAACATCATTGTTGATCACGAGGGGGGTTTGAGGGGACGTTTCTCCTTGAAAGTTTTGATATCTTGACCCCCTGAATCACTATATCTTGCATTTTTGGGGCAAATTTTCCTGGTAGACTAAGTTTTGTGACATCTCTTTCCATGACAATATTTGTTCGTCAAAAAGGACGAATTGGAGAGAGATATCTACTGCTGCCTTGCTCAGCACCTGACATCTGCGGATGATTGATTGTTTGGTTGTTTTCCTTGCAGGTGAAGTCGCAGGTGCATGCTGCGATCAGCCGGCAGCTGGAGGCCCTGCGCAGCCGCGAGGTGTGGCTGCTGAACCAGGTGGAGACCCTGCAGCACGCAAAGGAGGACATCCTACATGGACAGCAGACACAGCTCAGCGAGGTCAGCATGTTCAGCTATTATGAAATAAAGACTAAGCTTTAACTTCCAACGCTAACTACAATGAATTGGGACTTATCCCAAATTTTTTCACAGAATTGTTCACAGAATGGACCCGTCTACTCTTGGAACGTGACACCAGACTAGAGACACGTGACTGGTTCAGCTATTGTTTGTTTGGTTTTCCTTTAATGCCCACGATCATGATAATGATCATTCTGGCACACTCATTTTCACCTGAGGGAAGTGAGGAAAAGTATTGTAAACTGTCTTTCCCAAGGGCACAAGGTTGGTGACTTGGCAGGATTCGAACCTGGGACCTCTTGGTTCTGAGCCAAATGCCCTGCCACTATGTCATACAACCCCATTTGTTTGTTTAGGCCATGTTGATTTGATTATATTGATGACAAGGGCTACCAAAATGGAAATGGGTGCCGTCCTATGCACCATATATAGGTTTCAGAAAGAACTGGAAAGAACCTAACAAGAATGTTGTTTTCTTACAGGCCCTGGGTGAGGCTCGTAACTGTGCCGACCATGTGGAGGGCTGTCTGCGAGGAGACCAGGAGGAGAACTGTGACTCGGCCTGTATCGAGAGGGTCCTGGCAGACAACCTCAACAAGTACAGCAGCCATTTGTTCTATGTTGTTGTTGTTACAGCAGCCATTTGTTCTATGTTGTTGTTGTTACAGCAGCCATTTGTTCTATGTTGTTGTTGTTACAGCAGCCATTTGTTCTATGTTGTTGTTACAGCAGCCATTTGTTCTATGTTATTGTTACAGCAGCCATTTGTTCTATGTTACTGTTGTTACAGCAGCCATTTGTTCTATGTAGTAGTAGTAGTAGTAGTAGTAGTAGTAGAAGTAGTAGCAGTAGTAGTAGCAGTAGCAGTAGTAGTAGTTGTAGTAGTAGTAGTAGCAGCAGCAGTAGCAGTAGTAGTAGCTGTAGTAGTAGCAGTAGTAGCAGTTGTAGTAGTAGCAGTAGTAGTAGTAGCAGTAGTAGTAGCAGTAGTAGCAGTTGTAGCAGTAGCAGTAGTAGTAGTAGCAGCAGTAGTAGCAGTAGTAGTAGTAGCAGCAGCAGCAGCAGTCGGGTTTATTAGATCTTACCACAAGATATACATGCTTCTTGGCAGCCGTGGAGGGCTGAATTGTGACGCTATTTACAGAGGCATCAGTCTAAAACACAACAGGCTTTTTTGTTGTAGAAAAACATTGCAGTAATGCTTGTGAATGCAGGTGGTATTTCAAGCTCTGTCTAAATTTTCTCTCTAAGTTTTTATTTGTCCCTTTACTGTAGGATGAAGGAGTTGAACATGGAGCCAGAGGAGACCTCCTGTGTAGAATTCTCGGCAGACACCACCTGCCTGCGGGAGTCTATCCATCGCTTCGGCCGTGTGGACTGTAAGAACCCACGAGCTGAGGACCTGGTCTTCAGTACTGCAGGTACGCTACTGGCTGCTTTCTGCTGGTAATGTTTTTTTTATCCATGTTAAATCCCATAATTATCTATTTTGTCTTAATAACAGTCCACCATAGGTACTGCATATCAATGACTTAATGAACCATATTAAATGTGTAAACCACATTATGTAAATATTAGCCTCAAAAATTTGCCTCTCAAAATGCAGGAAATAGTGTTTCAGAGGGTCAAGATTTCAAAATTTCCCATACAGTACGAACATGTACATTATGTTATTATACATATATATAGCCCTGATGAAGATGACAGGCAGCAATCAAAACGTCATCTCTTGTAGACAAGTGGTTTTGAAGTTTGAACTTTGATATCCCATAATAAGTTGTAGTTGTTAATCTGACGTTTGTTGGTTTGTTGTGTGCAGGTCTGAAGGCGGCCAGCCTGCCCTCCCCGTTTGAGGAGTACGGAGACCAGGAGCACCACGTGTTGTACAAGACTGTGGAGGATGCACGCAGGCAGCAGGGACAGGAGGTGGTGTACCAGGTAGGTGGGACACACAAGACCTGCCAGGTCCAGTTAACATAGCATGTCGGCAGAACGTACTGCGCCTGCGCAGAACCCTGCATTTTCACGATTTCCGTTGGATTTTTGGTCAACGTTGCATCAGAATTTTGCTTGTTGTACAGGATATCTTTTCCTACGTAACATTTGGAAACTACAGAAGGGATGTTAACATTATATGCGCTAGTACGACCTTATATGAGACCTTCTGCCGAAGTGCTATGTACAATACATAACGAGTTTCGCGCAGGTGCAGTACGTTCTGCCGACGTGCTAGTTAACATAGATGAAAGAAAACACCTGCCAGGGCTTAGAATCTGACTGAGGTGCATGTGTACTTTTGACTAATTTTTTGTGCACCCGAAATTGAAACTGTGCATCAAATTTCTGTAGGTGCACCTACATGTAGATAGCTGTTAGATCATGGTTCTTAAAGTATTACAGTAGTAAACAAGCCCAACTGGCCTCTGGGAAGAGCAGCTAACGCCTACAGGGCATTTCAGTAAAAAGAAAGGTGATTCATTGATTTTATCTTGAGATTTAAGTGTCGGAAAAAAAATTAAAACGTATGTTGCATCTCTTTGAAATCTCAAACGTTTTTTGTATGTTTCCAGGCGCCTCTCCCTGACCTGAGGAAGGAAGACTGGCTTGCTCGTGGACCAATCACAACTCAGCCGCAGAGGAACAGCGAGCAACAGGACGGCGCTTCTTCCCGCCCCAGGTTTGTTTGTTTGTTTGTTTGTTTGTTTATTTCAGGAACCTACAATTAGTGACCACTACTCTTCCTGGAGTCCTCTTACATACAAACATTATTTTACAACTATTTACATTCGCCATCTAATGACAATACTAATAATACAATAAACGTGATTAGAGTAACTTCACATTTAACATCAATCAATAACCTCATTAAAACAATATTACGTAAAAATGTTGGCCTGGATTATCATTAGCTAGGTTTTGGACAGTAACATACACATTAGGAATCAATTCATAACATCAATTAATAACAATACTACAGGTTTGTAACGTATATATGTGTGTATGTAATATATGTAGCATTACTTGTTACCCCTTATGTTGACTTACGTATATCAGCCTTTGCTGCCTTTAAGACTGTGTAATGTATTGTTTGCATTTGAAATAAATGAAATTAAATAAAATATTACAGGTTCGGCTCGCTGGGGAAGGTGAACATCTCCGCGGCGCCAATGTGTATCCAGGACTGGCTGCTTCAGATCCGCCACGAGGACGGGAACGGGAGCCACGGGGCGTCCGCAGAGGAAGACGGCGACTTCGTCATGCTGGACGGGAAAATCTCCTGCTCCCAGTCCGCCACGTCGGAGTCAATCGAGATGGTTAGTACATCCGACGTGCTGGCGCCGTCCGACTGGCTGGCGAGAGACGACAAGACCGCGGCGGGCAAGCCGTACGACGAGTTTCCTTACTTCGAGGACATCAAGAAGATGAAGGATTGGATCCTGAAGTACGAGGAGGGGGTGAAGTCGTCCGGTGGATGCTGCTGCGCTTCGGACGTCTCCTCCGGTGCTGTGGAGATCGAGAACCTGGGCCGACTGTCCTGCGCGAAGGCGGCGACGGTACACAAGTACTTCCGGGACGTCCCGTCCGCTAAGGAGGCGTGGCTGATGAAGAACGTTCCGCGGGACGTCCGCACGCTCTGCCGCGCTAACGAGGTGTGCCCGTCCTTCAGCGACTGCCTCTGTGATGACCAGAACTGCCAGCAGCGGGCTTCGTTTGACCCCGGCCACGTCGGCCAGTACGTCCAGCAAGCCTCCAGTAAGATCACCGACTGGCTGCTGAAGCCCAAGAACCCCTCTCTTCAAAAGGAGTTGGATGAGTCGCCCATCTTCACCTACTTCCGAACCATCATGTCCGACCCTGCCTATTGGCTGGCCGCGGGAGCGCCGAAAGCCGCCTCCGAGCCCCCAAAGCCGTCTCCATTCGACAACGCCTTCGCTGCTATCACAGCCCAACCCTGTAGCTACTGGCTGGCCCACCGTGGGGAGCCCAACACGAACAAGGGCTGCCCTCACTTCTCCTTTAAGGATGAAGGCACCAAGAACTGGCTGCTGCCCACGGAAGGAAAGGAAGAAGACTCGACCCCCACCCCACTCGTTGCCTGTGTCGTTGGCGGCTTCAAGCAGATTGAATCCCAGCCGAAGAGCGTTTGGCTCGCAAAGAAATGTCCAGCAAGTCAGCCCGGCAAGCCGCAGGGCCCAGATGCAGTACAGTTTGTCCTGGATGGTTTGCAGCAGCTGCTGATACAGCCCAAAGAGGCCTGGCTTGCACGTCCGGCTAATGAGGTTGGCAGCACCCACGGAAGCACTGTAGACAACAAGGGATGGCTGCACAGGGGAGGGGAAGAACACCAGCTTCCAGAAACAGCAGAAACGGCAACGGAAGAAGAGCTAGGGTTTGATCCTGAGAATGCGTCAGTCCAGATGGCACTGGGGGGCCTGGAACAGTTCATGACCCTGGGCAAAGAGGCGTGGCTTGACCGCGGAGCGAAGAAACTCGCAGTAGAAAAAGAGGAGGCCACAACAACCGACACAGACAACACTACAGAAGAAGAAGAACAACTAGGATACAACCCAAACAACCCAGCAGTGCAGACTGTCCTCGGGGGTCTGAAGCAGTTCGAAACGCTCGGGAAAGAGGCGTGGCTGGAAAAGGGGAGGGCCAGTCCTTCTACAACCGAGACCAAGAAAGCCGGCCGCTCAGCCAAGGTGGACAAACTCATGAAGGAGGTGGAAGAAAAGGTGCAAGACGACTACGACCCTGAAAATGAGATGGTCAAGGTCGTTCTTCAAGGGTTCGAGCGTATCCACGCCAAGAGGAAGGAGGAATGGTTGGACCGAGGTGACCGTGAGGCGACCAGGAAGAGCAAAGCAGGGCCTTCGGACGCGTCCGTCAACAAGTCTCCCTGGCTGCTACACAGGAAGGAAGAGGGGAGCGTCCAGTCCAACAGTGATGCAGTGAAGTTTGTCCTGGGAGGACTCAGTCAGATACACAACATGGACAACAAGAACTGGCTGGACAGGTGAGTTATTATTTTTAAATCTCTATTGTGTTGACAAACTTGACAATGTGTACTTTCAATATTTTCCCAAGCTACTACATGTAATAGTAAAAGATTGTAAAAAAATCTGTTTTAAGAAAAGTCGCTCTAGTTTCTTGTAAAAAAAATCAACAAAATGTCAAGTATACTTATTTCTTTTGCATTAAAGTACGTTTATGGATTAGCGCTCTTTTGTGCTCAGCATGCAGCAATGTACAATAGTAGTAATACTATTCATTTTCCGTATCCCAGGAGTGGTGAGGCTCAGCAGCCTGTAGTGAAGAACAGCTGGATGTGGAGGCGTGACCAGGACCTGGCCCAGTGGCTGGCCAAACCTGCCTCCAAGGTGAGGCAGTCTCCTACCATGCCTGCTATAGTCCAAGAGAAAAATGAGAAATGAAGTGCGTCCTGTACACAATTTGAATTAGGCGACTGTGCTTAACAATTACTGGTACTTGAATTAATGGTGTCTGTAAAAATCTGATGCATTTCAGATTGCATTGTTCAATGTACATGCAAGTCGATTTTAAATAAAACTGAACCAAACTGAACATCTTTTTAGGTTGACCTACAACAGCAGCACTGTTTGATATGCTCTAAGTCCAGAGTACAAAGCTTCACTATGAAAAGAAAGGTACCTTACATAAATGCAGTCACTGATTGAAGAATTTCTACGAACTGTTAATTCTACGTGACTGATGAACCTCTTCAACGAAAAGAAAGTTGCCTTGTGGTCTGTATGACAATTTTGTATTTTTCTTTTTCACAGTAGTGAGAACCATGCTGCAACTGGCCAGATGGTCACACCATGGAAACCCCACCTACACCATGTTATCATCTGTAATTTACTGTCATTATATCTCTATGGCAACCATACATGTAGTTGTCCACATCTGCTGTCAGTCGCCATGGTAACATGTTACCATGGATACCAGTGCTGATGTCAGGCACTGCTGCTTTGCTGCTTTAGCACTTAGGTAGAAAAATTACGCCAAGAACATCTAGAACATTCTCTTTTTAAAGAATACCTGGTGCTTATTATCACACGGAGTAATTCACACATCAGTATTTATTATGCTATGATTGAAGTGCAGTGTTCTAGCCAGTGTCCAAATTTCCTTCATTTCTCAGACTTTTGCCAGACAAAAAATTTGCCCATCCTGACAGCTTTGACAGACAGCTATCAGCGTGTAAAGATATGGAAAGAGATGTCATCAAACTAAGCTTTGTCTACAAACAAAATTTGCCCCTCAAAATGGAGGAAATAGCATTTCAGAGGGTCAAGATTTCAAAATTTTCCCAGGGGAGCATGCCCTAAGTAGGGTGTTGCACCTTCAGTACTCAACATGAAAAAAATTGAGATGACAGAAAAAAAATTCAAGCTGGTTAGAACACTGGATTGAAGGGTTTAATGCAGTAAAGACACATGTGGAATAATCAAAAAATTGATTAAAATTTTAAAAGATGTTTTATTATGTATGATTATGGTGACATGGAATTTAGTTAACCAGCAACTCCTACTAGTACTATCCTGAACTGCTGCTTACTTTGGACCAATATTTTACAATGTCATCCTAGTACTCATATGTCAAAAGATAAAGAGATTATTGATAACCTAAAGTTGTGTCATTAATGAGAATAGTTATTAATATGAACATACTAGCTGTCTTGCACTTTCTGTTGTTACTTTTTAGATTATATTCAGAGCATCAAACATAACACCACACCACTGACAACAATAGCTTGTATTAAATTCTAGATTATAAAGCCTTTTTTGGCAGAAAAAGTTTTGATTACATGCATTTGAAATGATTGCCTATGCAGTATACGGATGTATTCTTTCTTAGAAAAATTAAAAGGATTGGTAAAATATCTTGCATTTCACTTGGCTTACTACATGTAAGGTCTCTATGTCACATAAAGTCTTTGCTCTTAGTAATTTTAGGTCTTGTTTAAAGGATAATGAAGAAGCCTGAATAATCTATTGGAAAAAGCAATAAATGGTGTAAAGGGATTGGTGTCTGGTGATTTTATTTTGTGTGTGTGTGTGTGTGATTGGTGTATTTTTATGTCGAATTTGTGTTTTTATGATTGGTGTTATTGCAATTTTCGGCATATATTTGCTCATTTTGCAGCTGCTTTGTCCGATTTACAGTATGGCCGATAACTATTTTTGCTGAAATGGAAAAAAAATTCATGCGCGCGTGGATGTCATCCATATAATAAAATTAACATGGCCTACATTAGGTCTAAAAGTATTTTTGAATAAAAGCATTTATGGCATATATTTCCTAATTTGCAGCTGCTTTGTCCGATTTACAGTATGGCCGATAACTATTTTTGCTGAAATGGAAAAAAAATTCATGCGCGCGTGGATGTCATCCAAGTAATAAAATTAACATGGCCTATGTTAGATCTAAAAGTAGTCTTGAATAAAAGCATTTATGGCATGTATTTCCTAATTTGCAGCTGCTTTGTGTGATTGACAGTATGGCCTTTTTCTCCAGAAACGGACAAAAATTCATGCGCGCGGGGATGTCATCCATATAGTCAAATCAGCACGGCCTACATTAGGTCTAAAAGTATTCGTGAATAAAAGCATGGTAAAAAGAAGTGGCGAGTGTCGAATTAGCACTAGTGGGGAACCCAACGGCCAGGGAGTTTCGATCCCTGGCCGCGCGGAAGGGTATGAGTTTATATGCTTTAGGCTCATAATATCATATAAAGAACCCACTAAGCCGTGGCTCGCCGGGTGTGTTCAGGCACGCAACCAGCCTATATACCTGCACCTGGCGTGACGCAAGAGTACGTCATCAGTCGATTTGTGTGAACCCTAGTAACCTTTGTCTAAGAACGCTACCTGCACTACAAGTCAGCCTCCACCAGGCCTTTCTACGGGAATACGGATCGTAGAATTCGGCAAAAAAAAAGAGAATCAAATTGGCCAAGAGAGTCCGGCCGCGGGGAGGTACTAGTAGTTTCGTGCGCGGCATAGTCAAACCCCAAGGTGGCCAAACTCCCCCGGCAAATATTCTTGCAATATAGCCAGCGTAGTTAGTCTGGTAGAGACTAACTACAAATACTGTAAGGGACTATGTGGTAGAAAATAATGATGCTGCGTTGGCAATTATTATGTTTAAGGAATGAAACTGACGTCGAAACTCAATCATATGCCAAAATGATTTGTCTGTTACTACCAGGAAGTGCAGTACCGCGGATTGCCGCTACAACCTTAAGGCGCTGCTCTTTTGCAGTGCCGATTGTCAATGTTGCAGCGCAAATATACTAGTACATGCTACTGCGACTAATAAATATACAAGCTATAGCAGTTGTTCACTGTTTATCATTCAGAAGCATGGTTATTGTTGTGTTCAAAACTAAATACAAAGCTCTGCCACATCGAGTAACTGTATGTACTTTTTTTTAACGGTGTCGCTCAATGCAAGGCCAATTATTTTTGGCCACCTCTCGGCATGGAGCTAGAGCTAGAGTTATTGCGCCTTCTGTTTGGTCGACGTTGCATCAGAATTTTGTACGTTGCGTATGACACAACCTTTGAAAAGACAGGGGTATCATCTTTAAAGATGCGAACATGACTTTAAATGATACGTTTTGTAGAAGTTGTGACATTGCCAGTGTAGGCCTCAAAATCATTATCTCCAACTCCTATTTAAAACTGTTCAAACCAGTCAGTGCTACATGAAGACGACCACACTGATATACAGCCACGTCACGAATGTAAACTTTAGCACAATAATTTATTCATCCATGGTGAAAGAGAACACCCAGAATTGTAATTATATCATAACTACATATAAGTTTCCTCTTATACTCTTATGTATACATGTAATGCTAATTTCAAGAACGCCCTTTTAATCCAGACTTCACTACCCAAGGGAGAGTTTGAACGACAGGTGCATACGTACAACTGTCTACTCGGTCACGCCCTCTGGCGATTGTAGAATGTGTGTGCAGTTACCTGCACTCAATGCAGCTAAGCGAACAACCAGAATAGTGCAACGGAGATTTCCAGTTTGCCGTAATGTCCGGTTACACCTGATAAAACGTCCTCCAACGACGCTATCTAGAATGTTCATGCAGCTGTCTTTCTGAATAGAATAGCTACATGACCAATACAATCACTATGTTCATAGAAGGCGCCCTCATTCAAATTCCATTCAAACTCCATTTACGTTCACCAGGCTTTGCTGTAATAGGGTTTTTACGCCATCACTGTTCACTTTCATAGCGGGTGGCCGGTGGCACCTGTACGTAGCTTACCGCTCAATGGCGCCACATTGCGGTTTTATATTGTACCGCATGTAGATGCGTTGTAACTGTCAGACGGCGGATTGACTACTTGAGTACTTCAACCTGTCGCTCTCCTTCAGTACAAAGAGGTTTAAAAGAGACCTCCTTGTTCAGTACAAGAACGTTGCACGTTTCTCCCTTTCACCACACAGATGTCTCTCTTGTGTTTCCCTCCGCAGACATCTCTATTCCTGAGTAAAACAAAGATAACATAACGACATTATCATGAAAGTTCATCTGTGTTGGTAGTAATCATAGTTGAACTTTATTCCAACACAAAGACTGCACGGAGATCAAATTTTCAACGACCACTGTCGCCTTCATCAGGATAATGAATGACCAATCACTTCACAACGTAAGTCTCCGTGTAATTTTTGTGTTGGATTAAAGTTCAACATCTTACTAACATAACGGCATATTATTGTTGACTTACTAAATGATATACAGTTTGATTTGATAGACAGTTATTATGGGAAATTATCAGGGGAAACCCCAGAGTGCAAAGACGCCCCGTTGCAAAACTGATGATGGCACCCAGGCTACCATGACTTGTGCGGCGAGAGTGGATATTTCGTAGCCTCTAAAAGAATTGAAATTGGCCAAATAGAGAGAGATAACATGCCGGGGAGTTGGTCCGCTAGAAAGTACACTATGTCGCACCCGAATGTACTTTCTTCTGCCTTAAGAGCCATGCTGGCTCAGAAGAGGACTAAGTAGTAGTAAGTAATTATAAGAATGTATTTCTAGCGGACCAACTCTCCCGGCATATTATCTCTCTCTATTTGGCCCATTTCTACTCTTTCCAGCCGAAGCCTGGTAGAGGCTACCAACTCCCTCGGCATGTTATCTTTCTCTATTTGGCCAATTTCTACTCTTTCCAGCCGCCTCCCGAAGCCTGGTAGAGGCTAAATAAGCCGAACCCTGCTAAGTGTCTACCCTACGCGTGCCCCAGGAAATCCTGCTAAGCCCAGCTGGTTCAAGAGTCTCCCATCCCGGCAACAGCTGCCGCTTTCCGAGTCAATGGTCGGGCTGGGAGTAAACAAGTTCGCTTCCGCGTCAGAGCGGCAGAAATTCACTCACTGCATACAGTGGGTTGGGTACAGATTTTTGGTGTTCTGGGATCATAAAGGATTGATAAAAGAGGTTACAACTGTCATCCCTTTTTTTAACCAAAATGGCCTAATACATATCACACCTCAAACGCGTTAAATCAGAAGATGCCAGCCGTGGGTAGAAATTTCTTACTCTCCAAGCGGAGATTTGGGCTTTGTTTTATGTTTGGCGTGTTTTAAGGCCTTTTTTTTAAAATCGAGGTTTCTTTTGTTGCACTGGGATTTTTTTACGCCAACCCAACAAATTCCAGTGCAAAAATAAAGAAACCCCGATAAAAAAGCCCAAAACACGCCAAAAATAAACCAAACCCCAAACCTCTGCTTGGAGAGTAAGACATTTCTACCCACGGCTGGCATCTTTTTAGGTGTGATATATATTAGGCCATTAACAACTTCTAATCAGGGGGGTTAAAATGGAAGCCCATTGTAGCCTCCTTTATCAATTCCAGAACACCAAAAATCTGTACCCAACGCCAGTCACTGTGTACGCAGTGAGTTATATAAAACAGAAGTATACGCTACTATTACTGTAGTCCTGCGAGCTATATAAGCATTCACAACACATGTTATGCTTATATAGTTTGATTTAATGATTTAATTATATGGATAACATCCACACGAGCATGGATTTTTTGTTAAAAAGTTTTCGTAAATCGGACGAAGTAGCTGCAAAAGGAGCAAAAAATATCTGGCAACGGTACTAACGTCCAAAAATGCCAAAATTAATTCCAATGAAACAGAAGGAAAAGTAAACCTTCATGACCACGTAGATTGAGATTTCATTTCATGATGAAGGCAAGTTTTTTTGCCCCAATTTTTTACTCGTATGTTCCCAGAGGATGTCATCCATATAATACAGCGGTCGTGAACCATGTAGCGGGCTTCGAGGCGCCCGTACGTGTGTATGAATGACGCATGTCACGTCCTGCGCGTATAAACAACTCCGGGAACAGGTGGTCCTGGGATAATGGCGGGCGGATTAACCAAGGCGGGGGAGAGTCTCAGAGATCTATCTACAAACAAAATGAGAGTGGGATCCTCTAGGGTTCGTCTATATTCACTAAACGCCCTGCGTACGTAGATGAAATTGAAGTATAAACGTATCTGTTTTAAAGTATAAACTTATGGATCTGTTCTGTGTTAAAGACATACATTTGAGGTCTTTTCTGTTTTAACTGTCAAGACATGAACAGTTACATCGAATTTCATCACACTACGTACACTTTCCTAGCTATGTGTCGCTGCCAAATCACTGGTGAATATCATCTACTTTGACATTGCGCTATTATATATACTACTATCAAAGCAGAGGTTTACTTTTGGCGTATTTCAAGGCGTTTTTATTGCGGGCTTTCTTGTCTCTAATGGTATCTTGTTTTCACGCCAATCCTTCGAGTAGCAAATGGTAAATGACTGAATGGCAAATCATACTGCCTGGCCAATTTGATACTGTCTTGCAGACACCGAAAGATCTGCTTGAAGATTACATATATACTGTACTAGCTAAAGTAACAGCGCCACTATTAAGTGACTGGGAATTTCACATCGGGAGTTGTATTTCCTTGGCCTTCGACTCCTCTAGTATTATATCTTAATTCATTCCCTGAATGTACGTCTTTATTTTCCTTTTCTTGTCTGTGTATTTTCCCTCCTTGGACGATCCTTCGTTTCCCCTTTATTCTGGCATATCAAAAACCCTTCAGACAGAGGCACAGGGAAACATCTGTGAAGCCGCAGTCGGCGACAGGAAACATCCTGACCACCCCCATCGAACTCCTTTCAAGCCGTACCCGGAAATTCGTGCCGTACCCGCGAAAATTTCAAGCCCATACCCGGTAATTCGTGCCGTACCCTGATTTGTACGACGCCATTCGGCAGATCGGTGGCAAGGAATATTTACCAGAGCATAGGCTATATGAGGTTGTGTATCGTTGCCGTACAGGGTATAAAATTTAGACACGACTTCCGAGTGACTACGCACCGGGGCTGAGCGATATCCGCCATATTGGGTACGGCGAAAAAGTACAGGGTACGACACGAATTACCGGGTACGGCTTGAAATTTTCGTGGGTACGGCACGAATTTCCGGGTACGGCCAGAATTTTTGAGCGGGTACGGCTTGAACTTCCGGGTACGACTTGAAAAGAGTTTGATGGGGGTGCTGACTTGCACAACGTAAGTCGCGCGGAGGGAAATTTTTCGCGAGCCTGAGTCGAACCTTTGGCTTCCCCCTTGACCCTAGCCTCTACTAGGCACCGCGGATCGCTGGAAAAATAGTAGAAATTGGCCGAAATAAGGGATAGTATACCAGA